ATTTTTTGGACTTTCTTCTTTGAAAACTTTCAATGACATAATCTTTTTTTTAATCTCTTGATATTTCTTTTTTTATTGCATATTCTAAAATAAAATCTATATTTATATTGAAAATGTATATTTCAATGCCAGTTTCTTGAGTTATGTTCTCTAGTTCTTGAAGATTTTAGTTTAAAATAAACCTCTGGTATTGTTCCTATATATATATATATATATATATATATATATATCCATCTGTCATGTGCAGCATATAGCATACAGAGGCACTCATCATGGCTGCAGAGGAACAGGCCCTGAACACCAAAGCAACAGAGATCTACCACATCAGTGCCCAATTTACATATGTGTATAGCATTTAATGAAATGGCTTTCTTCCCCACGGTTTCACATTTCAAGGATAACCCTGCAAACATGTTCCAAACACAGATGCAGCTTACAAAAGAAATCGTTTATTATGTTTCCTTTGAAACGATAGTATTTTTTCCACATTATTGTTCGGATGAGATATAATCAGAAATCAGCTTATAAACATCAATATATATTTATAACTTTGTTTCTTTTCCATCAATGCCCATCTGATTCAACAGGAAGTTATTATTAAACTCATAGTAAAAAGAAGCATTATTAATAATGTCATTACTCCCACAGAGATGCTGATTGCAGCAATGAAAGATGATTGTAGGAAAATGAGACCCTGATACAACCAGAGAAAAAGAATTAGAGAAAATTACATTAAAGGTTGGTGCTGCCTTTGCTTCTTTCTAAAGCCAGTAAAAATGAAACATATCGATCTCTCTGATCACTCATTCAATTCTGGAGGGTTCTGTTCAGCATTTGAAATCCTGCCTCTTCTTCACTTACCTCTTTATAAAAACGAACAAACATTTTTTTCTGAAAAACATATATTCAGTACTTATTGAGAAAGGAGGGAATAATCAGACCTGACTCTACATGGAGGTTTGTCTACGTTTAACCGGTCAACAACATCACGCTAAAAAATCTAAAAGTTGTTACAGAGAGCACCATTCAGCTGGCTGAGGAACAGATCAGCAAGACTCTGCAGGATATGGAGATGTTTTGTGTGTTTACTGGTATTTACGCAAATTCAAATTCACTTTATTAATCCCAGAGGGAAATTATGAATTATGAATATTTTTGTTTTGTTGTAGCTCCTTACCTCCAGAAAAGACCAGCTAAATGCAGCTCTGGTGTCAGCACAAAAGTCTTCTGGTTGAGTTCGGGTAATGAAACACCAAAAAGGGTCAGAGCTGAAATTCAGTTCTACTCTGATGCCTAATCATGAATCATTCAGACGTCTCAGGTCTTCTGCAACGAACGTTCTCAGAGTCATAACTAAGATGTTGCAGCAGCTTCCAGGTTTTCATGCTCAACAACTCCCAGGAAACCTTACTATAGATTTTTGTTTAGTATATTTGACTTCTTTTAGGTTTTAGGTAAACTACCTAGACTAGATTTGTTGAAATATTCAGTGTAAACTCTATAAAACATGAGTGCAAATGAAAAAGCTTTAGTTGCTCTCAGCGTATTGGATCTCCACTTTATCCCTGCCTCGGGTCATCCTTGTGTTTGAAAATGAAAAGTGAGTTTCTGTAAATGAAGTTGTAAAAATAAACATTTCAGTCTTTTTGCAGCCTAAATAAATGAGCTAGTTGAGTGGACACAAAGGCCTGCAGAGTAAATCCCACTGTATGTTTCATCACTATCTTCTTGTATTTCTCTGGGTTAAAACTGCATTAAGGTGTCTGGGAGATCTGTCAGGCTGTATTTGAAGAATGATTTCTGGGTTATAGCATCTGTAAAATTGTTGCAGATGTAATAATTTTGTCGTTTCAATATATTACCATTACCATTAAACCGTATATTACCATTAAAATAATAGCATTGGATCTCCATGTTAACTTGCAATTTATCAGATGAGTAAACTGCACTCCTGTTACCTTCTACTGTAGGTATGAACACCCTCACCACAACCACACACACACACACACACACACACACACACACACACACACACACACACACACACACACACACACGCACGCACGCACGCACGCACACACACACACACACACACACACACACACACACACACACACACACACACACACACACACACACCCGCCAGCCTTTTCTTCTAAAGACAGTGGGTGGACAGACGACCCCGGTACGATTCGAGCTCAGGTTATTGGTTGGTTCTCGCCTGCTCAAGGTCTCAGAGGAGGCAGGTCTGACCCTGGACTATGAGAGCTGGATGAGTGTCATTGGCCTGGAGATTTATTAGCAAAGTATTAAAAGAACATTTTCTATGTATTAATATGATAATAAAAACAGAAAATTAATATGCATACATATAAATAAATGTCCACCTTGCTCTTGGAAGAACTATTGCAATAGGGGAGGTGTGTGGAACCGGTTCATTGTGGAGGGTGCTTGTGTTTAGTTAGGTGGGGAATTACAATGTGGTTACATAGGCAAAGGAGGAAAGGCTCACATTTAAACTATTCTGCACTGAAAAAATGTTCCTTTTAATCTTTCTGGACACCAGCAGAATAAGTAGTTTTGTGTTTTTATTGCTATTTAAAACAATCTTTGATAAAGGCTAAAGTCTCCCTTTAGCCTTCATATGAGGATGGGGACAGCACAAGCATGTCATGGTCTGCGTCTCCCTCACGTGTCTCCTTGTGTTCTCCATCCCTCTCTAGGTTTCCCTCATGTGTCTCCTTGTGTTCCTCATGTGTCTCCTTGTCTGCATCCCTCCTCATGTGCCTCCTTGTGTTCCCCAGGCCACTCCAGGTTTTATCCCCTTAGGTGTTTCCCCCAGGTTTCAGCATCCCTGTGTGTCCCCAACCCCCTCCAGGCTCTCTAGGTTTCCCTTACGTTTTTCCTTAGACACTTTTTATCATTAGTCTTCTGTTAAGTGTATTATCTAGTCTGTTTTCTCCCTCTAGTTCGTTTTGCTCCCTTCCCCATTTTTAGGTCTGGTTTTCCTCCCCTGCTCCGTTGTGCTCCTCCTGTGTTTATTAGTCTCACCTGTGCACAATTCCCTAATTACACAGCCGTTGTGTATATAACCCTGTCTGCATCACAGTGTGGTTGTTGGTCCATTGTTTGTGTCAGCGTTGTCTCGCACCCTCTCTAGGTATTTGGAATTTCTCTAGGTCTCTTGTTTTTTGATATTCCCAAGGTTTTGATTCTTGGATTTTTGGCTTCCAGCCCTTTGGATTTACCCCTAAATAAAGTATTTTTACGTTTTTCACTACTCCTGCTTTGTGTCATCCTGGGTCTGCATCTTGGGTCCTAACCTCCCCCAACTCACAGCGTGACAAAGCAAAAAGGTATTGTGCATTTGAAGCAGTTTGCTTGATTTCTTATTCACATGAATTTACTTTTTCCTTGGGTCTAATGTTCAGTTTCCATATCTTGACTCTAGCCCAGCTGCAGTTTGAGGAACACCTCCAGAAGCAGCAGGATAGAGGGCTATGCCTCCTCACCGGTGGACATCAGAACCACCAGATCAACAGCTTCTAGCATCGTGGTTAAGGGGCTCACCCCATGTCAGGCTAACTGTTCTTTTCGGGCATTTGGCAAACTTTAGCAACATGTTTTGTCTTATCTCATGATGCTGCACTGATTTACATTTCTGTAGAAAACATTGTACAAGGTGGATGTTGAGAACATGAAAGATTCACCAATAGAGAGCCATGATGCTTAACCAGCTACTTCTGCTTTCATCTATGGGAAAAAAAAACCTCCATCCAAGCAGTCCACACTGAGGAATCGAACTGTCCTGGACTAATTGATGGTAACCAAACAAAACGAGTTGCAGCTTCCCAAATAGTTTTCTTTCAGGATTGAATGTGAGGTCACAAAAAATACTGTAAAAATATTTTATTTTAATGGCTTGGGTTAAATTAGTGGTGTAAAGAACAAAAATAGGACTTGTTTGTTGTGTGATGCAAGACGAGATGCCATTTAAATATCTGAATTTAAGTGCATTTTTGTTTTGGCTGACTTTTAATGACATTGTGCTCCTAAAGCGACCCCAGAGGGTTAGGATGTGTTATTGTTTTAAATTAAATAATCCAGTTCAAATGTAATTAGATACGTGATGCTTCAAGGAAAAAATAAACAAATGTTTTTTTTAGGCATTTGTCAAACAAAATCTTCAATTTTACATCAGCTTGTGTGGAAAGTAACAGAAAAACCGAATTTTTTATAGAGCAAAGGTTGTTCGGGTGTGGGCATTATTCATACTTAATCATGCTTGCTCCTCTACATGTCGTAGTACATTTCTGTTTTCAGTAACAAAGCGGAGTTCAAGGGTCTGTGACTGCTTCTGAAGAGCGGAAACCCATCTTGTCAAGTAGGAGCTGATTTTCAAGGGTAAACGACAACAAGAAATTTTTTGAAGTGTTTCATTCAAACGATCTCCCTGAGTTTGTTAACCCTCTCAGGCTCAAAATAAGTTTTAATAAAAGGACGAACAACAAAGTCCTTCTGGGGTACTTCTGAACTAAAAAATGCTCATGAAATACGTATGTGGAGTAACCAGGTAGGTTTAAACTGCAAATCTGCAATGCCTGCCTCCAAAGGGTTACACGCTCAAACATAAATTCATGGTGCAGTGGTGAGAACTGGAAATGTAGTTTTATAAGGGATTTTTGGAGGTTGAGTCGTTTGACCAAAACACGTGTCTTTCTTTTCTAAAGAAATTGTCCAAATAATGCTGTCACAAAAACCAAACACAAGGTTCATGATTCACAGCAATGGCGAGCTCTGAAGGTGTTTGGTTTGCACCACAAGAGAGAGCCGAAAGGGCCACCAGGGACACAATTTTAATATATTTACATTCAAACCTGAGAACTCGCTCACTACAGAACACTCCAATAAAATAGAGAATGGAGCACTCTGCTCATCATCCACTCACAAATTGGTGCTGCACGGCCGATGGACACTGACAATAAAAAAATTGGAGTTCTGGAGCACTCAGGTGAGCCAAGTTTTACTAGGTGCGAGTAAAACAAAGGAAAACTAATGTTTCTACACTGGATGTGTCTTCATCAGAGTTACAAAAAGTATCAGTTTATTTTGAAAGATAAGTTGATTCATAAAGCATTGATGTATTACTCTATCCATGACTCATAAAATGGACAAAATGTGTTACATTCACAATCACACAGACATACAATAGTACACTTTAGTTGATGTCATTGTGATGAGAAGATATTTCTCTTTTATGAATGTGTACAATAAGTCTGTTATTAATACTGGCACAAGTTTAAAACTGAAATTATAATCCTCTGTGAAGATTCAATTCAATTCAAAAATACTTTATTAATCCCAGAGGGAATAAAAAAATACATCCTGGCTTGATTTGCTCTTCTGCTTTATTGAGGTCTCATCTTCGTTCCATGTAGTTTTGGATGGACTTGTTAAAAACTGCCAAGAAGAAATCTGCATCTTCCTTTGTGATGCACATGGGGGGTTTGATGCGAAAGGTCTTCAGGAGGGAAAAAAATAGAACAGGAGTGAAAATTATGCACTTGAGAGAAAAATCATTCCAGATGCCTTTTTCCTCTCTGACTTAACACAGGTCTTAAGCTTGGATAGTGTGGTAATTACAGCAAGGTAGGTTTAGTCTCATATGGTTCTGGGATGTTGTGGAGAAGAGAGCATGATGTTTTTAACAACCTAAAAGAAAAAATGTACACTAAATTACATTTTAAAGCTCAGTTCTTTTTTCCAACAGCCTCCCTTTCTGTCTCTTTGTGACGGCTATTCAAACCAGGCTGAATAAAAGTCAAATGTTAAGGAAATACTGCATTCAAAAACAACCAAGGCAAATGATTTTAAATGTAATATTTTAGGCTATACCTGTTTTCAAATGCCACCCACCTCCGAACCGAACATGATCAGAATTAAAGTGTGTATGAAATTAAATAGATCTTTTTTTGCTAACAGTTTTACCAGAAAAACCACAATGGCAGGTCGAAAGACCAGCCCGTCAGTCCAGAATCACGTTATTGTTGGAAGTCATTACCAGAGGATTGGCTTTGTGTAGATAATGAACAGAACAGAAATAAAGTGTGAAGGCAGCTACGTCGCACAGATCACGCAGAACTTTTTTCTTCTACAGAAGAAGCCTAATGCTCAATAAAGTTTCCTGATAGTAAAACCAGTCAGTGAGGCGGTAGCCGCCTCCAGAAAAGACTTCCTTGACATTTAAAATAAATTCATAAGGGAGCAAATATTTTTCACAGTACTGGTTATCTTTGTATGGATGCAAGCGACAGATGGAGGCAGAAGGTGAGTGACGTTACCTGTCCATAGACTCCTCCTTTACCTATCAGGACTCCCATGTCTTTAACATCCTCAAAGATCTCAACCATGTCCTGATGGGACAGTGGGTCTCTGCTGACCTGTAGACAGATGAGACGGGACGCTGCAGTAAACAATGGCGGCCATGTTGATTAGGATAAATCACTCCTAGAATTTATGATAAACTGCTAATTTTCCTGAACGGCTGCACATTTCCAGCTTATATAAGATAGAAGAGACAATTTCACACAGTAGAACTCCTTACTATGCCACGAGTGAGCTTCAAGCTACAAAACATGTCCTAGAAAGATAATAAAGGAGTAAAGCACACACACTTCATTTATTATTATTATTTCAATTCAATTCAATTCAATAATTTATTTCACACAAAGCTTAAATATACAAACTTCAAATTAGAATATAAGCATTCAAATGAAATAGGGGGAGGAAGAAGAAAAAATCTACAAAATTATATAAATGTGGCTTCTAAAGCCTATGTTACGTTTAACGTCTCATTAATTCCCCTCTCAATGTTTCTTTTTCTTTTCTTTCTTTTTGTGTGCCCTGTCTGGCTGTGAAGCAAACAGAATTAATGTCTGAATGCTGGTGACAAGCCTTACAGATTTTCTCTCAGGTGGAGCATCAAAGCGTCTGCTTTTAATGTCACGCCTGATACTTAAAAGTTTATTGTTATTGTTTTTGAATGCTTTTTAATTCCGACCAGACACAGAGACAGAGGTGAAAGAGAAAGGAAAAGACAAAAGGTGTGTGTGTGTGTGTGGGGGGGGGGGGGGGTTCCACAAAAATAAACAATAATGAACAAGTATCTGCTTCTAGACCTGCAGAAAGAAGAAAAAAAACCCAAAAAGACAAAAAAAATAAAAATGGGACACAACAACAATACAAGAGGGTCAAGCTATCACTGCGTCAACTTGATGAAGAAATATATAATCAACATTGTTTAACTGAACAATCACACGATAATAAATCACAGTGCATTAAGTGCCAACCACAGCCTTAAGACCTGTGTTGAACGTGCCCAAGTCCATACTTATGAGAGCACCATGTGAGCACCTGTGTGTGTACACGCGCTTGTTTATGTAAGGTTTCTCTATAGGAGCGTCCAATAGAGAGTGTGAGGGGCCACAGATCACCCCCCAAAGATGTGCAGGAGATGGAGGGAGCTCCAAGTCCCAGAGATCCAGGAGCTGCCCCAGAGCACAGGAACTCCAGGGAGACTGCGACCAGAAAAGCCCCTGCCCCCGTCGAGAGGCGCAGAGGATCGCCCCGGGGGGCCACAACCAGCAGCCGTCAGAGTCCCGGGAGATATCGGCGGCAAGCCCACAGGCCCGCCCGCAGCCTCCCACCCCCTAGCCGGCTGAGCCCGGGACCCAATGACCCGCGGGTGACCACCTCTGCCGGGGACCCAGCAGAGCCCAGGGACCCAGACCCTACCAGGCAGCCACCGGGCTGGGGCCTTTGACTCCTCCCTTCTCCTGGGACTTCTTTTGATGATGTAGATCTTCGTCTCCCCTCTCCCTGCCACACCTGGTGTGGAGTGCGGTGCCTTGGTCTGCCTGGGTCGTGGCTCCTGGGTCAGGGGGTTTAAGATTTTTGGCATCTGCCTGACCAATCCCAGTGCCCTCTCAATGTTTCTAACAGAAATGTTCTACTTCCTGTCCTGCTAGGACGGCTTTCCTTTACTTCTCCTAGTCTGGATGGGTAAAAGAAAATAAGTCAAATAGATATTTTCCTTGCTGTTCAAGTCAACTTCTTTGTGAAAATACACAATTCTAAAGTCCAGTCCCCTTTCTTCAGACTTCTCCCATTAAGCCACGCCTCCAGGATGCTGAAGTCCTCTACTGGGGTTTCCACATCTGGGTTGGCATGGCTCAGCCCTTGTAGGTTAATTGTGTTCACATCTAGATAATCTGTGCATTTTCTGTGCTCAGCTGAACGTTTTTTTGGGAGGGGGGGGGGGGTTGGGGGGGGGACCTGGTCTGTGGCGGTCAGGTTCACGCAAAACTGACTCAACTACTACCGACTGATTGGCCAGCTGAAGTTCACGTCTATAGAGGGAGCCTCTGATTGGCGAGTATAATTGGCCGGCAGTGGCTTCCCGTGTGCGTGATTCATTATCGGTGTAGATGCAGTGGAGTAAATATCTTCTCTGACTGAAGCTCAGAACCACCACTCCAGCAGGAGCAAGACAGACTGCTGTGAGGAGCATACGGCAGTGTGATTCATATCAGTCTCCAAAAGCAAAATGGCTCACAGCCACCTTTGTTTACTAACTGAGGTGATCAGTAAACAGTATGAAGTGATCTGATATTGCATCCAGATTGCTGTGTCTGTCCTGGCACAGCTGAAGCTGAGAGAGAGAGGGGGGGCAGAGCAGAGCAGAGGGAGGGAGGGAGGGAAACGCTGTGTCAATATCATCCAGCCAGCGGCAAAAAGGGGCATTTTGGTTTGTAAATGGGAACCCCCTTCTTCTTAGTCGCTCCTGAATTGTTACTTCACATCTGGTCTCAATCAACATTTCAAAATAAGATAGTCATGATTTTGGTGAAATTCTCTAGCCTGACCAGCCAGCCCCGTGCTTCCTTATGGGAAGCATTGGTTCTCTGTGCAGAATTAAACAGAGGACGAGTCTGGCAGGCCAGGCTAGGAAATCTCAACTGATAAGGATGCTTCAGTAGCATTTTGTTGCAGAGGGACCGAGGAAGCAGAAAGAAAGAAAGAAAGAAAGAAAGAAAGAAAGAAAGAAAGAAAGAAAGAAAGATAGAAAGAAAACATGACTCGCAGCCGGAGGCTGAGGCCAAAGTGGTTTTGAAAACGATTCTTCCTCGTTGAGGAAGATGAGCTGAGCTGACACTAAAAAGAAGCGTTAACAGCGGCGCTTTATTTAGCTTTTTCAGCTTCGTTTTGGTTAGCGGTCTGCTTAGTGACGTACGTTTTTGGGAGGTGTGCTCATGAAGTAGCGTGTACTGCTGAAGTGACACGTTGTGCAGTCTGCCTCACAGAAATCTTGCGTCATACAGTAAAGTTTTCACAGTGTGGCATGAACAATCCTGTGCGATGGCCAAAAATCAAACAGTGTGATCCCAGCATCATGGACATATTGTGTAGACTTTTACTTTGACACATGTCTAGCAGTAAAATTTCGTATTTTGATGCCAATTCTGATTGGTTGGTGAAATGCTACAGTAACCCCCACTAAGGAGTTTTTGTAGCTCAGGGTTCAGGGGCCACAAAGAGGGGCCCGTGGGCTGCCTATTGAGTTCTGCTGCTACAAACAGAACAAACAGAATGGAACATGTTGTCCATGGTTTAGGCTTCACTTCCTGTTCATCTGCTTCTAGCTGAGAATGTGCGATTTGTGCTCAAAGAGTGGTATGAGCCGAGGGGGGAGAGACGGTTTGAGGAGCGGTTTGACGGATTGTTAGTGATCCAGTCGTTATAAACAGAACGTTCACAATGAGGTTTTTCCAGGATGTTTTTAAGGGCAATCAAGCCCCCCCCCCCCCCCCCCCCCCCCCTTATTTTAAGCAATATGGCTAAAAACGCTGCAGAAGAAACGTCTCCAACTGCATCTCATGCTGCACTTTGTATCCCTGTTTTAGATTAAAACAACAAATGATTTACCAGAGCCTGGAGTAAGCTATAAAAATGAGTTCAATCCTTTTTTTTACAAATAGTTTCCTTATAAATTATTCTATTTTCTACACCCAAAACTGTCTTTTTTGACTCTTTTGCAAAACAAATAGAGCATCAGCTGGAGTACATGCATCATGGCGGAGTTTGTTCTGTTCAAGATTACAGATGGACAATGGTTAACTAGGGCACTGCTGAACCATGTCCCAAAGGCATGAAGTAGACATGCATGTTGTCCAAACATGTGAGAGGAGGTGAGTTTCGCTGCCGTCAAACACCTGATACCTTGTCTTTGACCATTTCCACTCCAATCTGCAGGCCTTTTCCACGAACGTCACCGATGATCTCATACTTGTCTCTGAGTTTTGCCAGTTCCACCATCAGATAGGAGCCAACGTCAAGGCTAACCTTCTGTGTGCCATCCTCTTTAATAATCTGTTAAACAAGAGTGAACTTATTTGTATCTAACATGTTTATATAAAGTCACAGTTTGATAAAATAAACAACAAACACTTACATCAAGCACTGATGAAGCAACAGCACAAGCCACAGGATTTCCTCCAAAGGTGTTAAAATGAATCCCTTTGGCAAATGAGGCTGCAATTTCTGGAAAACACATGAATAAACAAGCTCACACCTTCAGCCACTGCAAACTCAGATTGGAGCTTCTAGCAAAGAACAGAATGAATGCATTATGCAAAATCTATTTGTTGAGACATTGTGATTTCATGTCCGCATTTGTTCTTGCAAGTGTCTTTTCTTAGAACTAAAGAACACCTTTAGAAAACTACAGGGGTCTCCAGGTATGCAACGTGTAATTATTAACAGATTGCCATAGCAACAGGCTATCACAACAAATAACACAATAATAAATAAGACATACTTGTTTGGAGGCACAAAGCTATTTTTTAACAGTACTGTGGAGGTGAGGGTCAAGAGAGCTCATATGATTCATTTCTTAAGGCATTATTAAAATCAATACAGGTCTCAAAGGTTGCTAATTCTGCTGTAATAGGAATGATATCAGAAATATTTCACTGTTGTTTTGTGCTACGGCACTATATATTATTCACATCGTTCCAAGATGGAAGTTTTTCAGCCTAATACGATCCATTCTTTAAATTGTAACATTTCTGATCTGCTGAAAGTAAGTTTTGTTTAATAAAAATTAATATTAGGTTCAGCCCAGCCTTTAAAATAGCATCTCAGCTCTTCAATGCACAGTTTTAATACTAATGCCATAATCTCACCAGGTGTTGTAACAACAGCTCCCATGGGGAATCCATTACCAATACCCTTAGCCATTGTTACCATATCTGGAATGACGTCATGTCCTTGGAAACCCCAGAAGTGGCTTCCAGTTCGGCCAAATCCTGTTTGGACCTGCCAGGTGCAATAAAGAACGATATGGAATCCCATTAGTGCTTAGAAAGCCGAGCGATTAGGGTGATGGTGTTGCAGGTGTAGCATAGCATTATTGTAATGGACGTATCAGCCCACAAATGAGAAAAAAGTTAACTACAACTTCATTAATCCAACCTCATCAGCGATGCAGATCCCTCCTCTCTCTCTTACAAGTTTGTAAGCCTGTTTAAGGTAGTTTTTAGGGTACTGAACAGCTCCTCCAACTCCCTAAACAAACCAGAACAGAAAAGAACAAAAGAGGATGAAATTACAGACTCCCTCTATGAAACGAATAAAAAATAAGATTTAAAGTGGTAATGTGGTAGCTTTATGAGGAAAAGGCACGAATAAGAGTAAAGTGATTATTTGATTTCTTATAATAATTTACAAGTGAAAACAGCACCTGAATAGGTTCTCCAAAAAAAGCAGCAATTCTAGTTGGGACACTTGTAGCTAAAGTCTCTTGGAGTTGCCCAATGTATTGCTCATTTGCCATGCAAATACCTGTATCATAAAACAAGGAAATACTTTGGTTCACATATAAAACATCAGATCATGAATACAAACAGGAAATTAGAATTGTCTTCAGGACTTGTGAGAAAATTCCCAATAGTCAAATGTTAGCTCATAACTGACAAAAATAAATAAATAAATAAATAAAATAAAAAATCTACATTTTAGTGTTGCTTCGTAATGTGATTTTATCATACAACACTTTGTATTCGCTGCAGGGGCGAGATGGCCATCTGAATCCTGGAGAATCCCAGGACGGTCGACGATTGCCTGCTGCAAGAGTCCATTTGGGCCGACAGAACTCCTGACTCTTTGTTTATTGTTCTAATTGGCTCATAAAACCAGTAGATCAGCCCGATCACATTATTAAACACAAACACGTTTGCTTTGTTTCTGCTGTCATTCGGTTAGAAAAAGCAATTGAAGAGTTTGTCTGAGAACCACCAACCCGCTGACACATGTGGGTCTGGAGACCATTTTTATTTCTTTCACTGACACCAGCCTGGTCCAATCATATGAGACACCTGCTCCCTTTGGCGTTGTGTGCTGCTCTGTAACATTATCTATTACGATCTTTTCAAATGGGAACAATATGCAAAAGGAGTGGAGAAACTACAAAACAAAACAAAACAAACAAAAAAAGAAAAACAGCTACTTAAGCAAACGCTGTTAAATGAACAAAAATAGCAGAAAGTCAGTGAGTTTCCTTGTAATTTATGGCATCTTGGTGGGGGGTTGTGGGACGAAGTAAGAATTTCAGTGTACACTGTACAATTGACAATAAATACTTTGATTGATTGATTGACTGAGTGAGATCAGGTTTTTCCAGTCCTGAGCATCTATATGTTACAGCCCTTTCCAGTGGTTCGTATAATAAAATAGGAAATAAGTACAAATAACTAAATTATATATTTAAAAAAAAGAAAGCAGAAGAAATACATTTCCTAATGACTTATTCCCAACAGAGCTTAATCCTTCCAATAGGTAATGTACATGCTGAACAGGTTCCACTGACCACTTACATTATTTATTGTAGCTATAAATAAATGACACGTTGGAAGTATTTAACTTGTCCGCTCTCATGAATTCCAGTTAAGTTGTTGCATGGCTTAAAGTGCACATTTTTAATGACTTGCACAGTTGCTTCACACACTCAGGTGTGTTATGTTGAATGTGGTGGGCAGGTGTGGTCTGTAAATTCCATAATGTCCGCCCCTGACTCTTTATGATTTATGATGGGCTTGTTGTTCAGCTTGTTGACATTTTATACGGTATTACCACATTGTTCCATAAAGCTTAGCAAATAGACTTATATACTGACCTTGGTAAGACGCTGACGTTTGTGAGAGTGGTAAAAGCTAAAAGTGGTAAATGATCAACAGCAGGAGACTTTGAACTTTATTTGGCTCATTCAACACACATTCTTGTCCTTCTCCTCCTCATTTTTGAGGGTTACAGCTGGCAGAATTCACTCTCATTGCTTCTAGCTTATCTTTACCAAAACTAAACACATTTTTGAGTTGCTATTTTTAATGGTCTTAGCAAATAACAGAGTATAATTTAGCTAATTTAGACAGTAATTTAATGTATAATGGAGAGTTGTTCAAATATTTAAAAAAAACCCTAAGTAAACATCCTTTGTATCAAAAGTCAAACATTGTTTCACCTGGAAAACATTGCACGAGTGCACTGATAATTGCATGGCTGTGTTTTTTGTACCTTGAGCACAGCTACACTCTCTGGTCGTCTGTACTGGAGAGTCCCTGCAGTGGCTTCCTCCCCACGGGCCTCTGAATACATCGGGACACATGGTCTGATTGTTTGGTAGAAAACAAGTCAGCTGGGTTAGGCTCCCACACTTTTGAATATCAGCACACAAAGACATGATTAAGAATCAGGGGAAGCTTTCAGAACATTTTTCATGGTTTGCATCTCAGGTATGAACTGATGATTATACCTAATGAATGAAACGTAGATATCTAACGTAAAGATATACGGAAAGTTAATTACATCACATCTGATGAGTGAGTGGGTTCAAATGACATCTGTTACCAGATAAACAGGTTTTCTACTTTTAAAAAAGCACCAACATCACTCGGTATCTTGACACATATCATTAAACAAGCAATTTCCCAACCAGTTTTTATATAAATGATGTAAAACCATCCAACCATACCCACTAAGCCTTGCAGGTGCCTACTTCCAGGGCATTAAGGAAGGGTACACCCTGGATATATTTCCAGTCCGTCGTAGGGTGGAAAACCACTACAGATATATTATTACTAAAGTTACTATCGTTCTGTGGGACAATTTGATGACTAAATCATTTCACTAATTTAATCCTTTTTTCTTCATTGTGATCACGTCAGTGTGCTTTCTAATTATGAAATTCAAACGTAAACACAGAGGCAATAGGTTGGAAGTGGTGGCTTGGTTTTCTATTCATCATGGATAGATGCGTGTCTGGAGGTGGTGGACAGCTGTGTGATAGAGCAGGTGTTCATATATGTTTATTATCAGTAAAATAGGAATCATCCAATGTAATACATACATTTGTGCAACCCAAACCATTGGCAATGGGGTATTTATAAGCTGCATTGGAAGTAAGACCCATAGCCTGTGGGCTCCCACCATGATACGATCCTCTGAAATAAAAAACAAAACAAAATTACATTAAAGACATTTTCTAAACATAAATAAAGATCAGCTAAAATGTGGTTAGATCTTACTGTACATGAGGTACAATCGTCAACGAGTTTCTCCTAACACAATATCAATCACAAACTTCATAAAGCTAAAGTGTCCAAACTTTTCACCATGTGGGACAAAAACAAGATCGAGGTTGTTGGTCCAACATTTTGTATTTATTTTACTTAAAGGGACTGCATCATGCTGTTTTAAACCTTTCAGAGTTAGGGAAAGCCCATATATGATTAAAATAACACAATCTGCACTATGGAGATGTCATATTTTCCAAAATAAGTTATTTTCTTGAGGACATTTTATCAACCCAGAAATCAGATGCTTGGAATCCATGAAATCCCATCTCTACACTTGTAAATTCCATCCATTTCATAACGTAACCCCACATCGCCAGCAAGTCATCAAGGAGCATGAAGAGAAACAAAGCAGTAAAGCAGAGGAGCTGGAGCACTCAGGTGAGCAAGGTGTTTTTAATAGGTGCAAAATTTGAAACTACACACTAAAGTTTCAACGCAACGTGCGTCTTCATCAGAGGTACATCACTGTTACATCAATTATATAAAAGCGTTGGTGATTGGTCCAGAGGCTGGCTGTAGAAAGTCAAAATTTCATTGGTTCTCTTCATACTAGGTGGAGTTAGTATCTAAGTTGCATAAATCCATCTTCAATGAATTGAATGATGTAACTCTGACAAAGACACACATTGCGTCAAAATGTTAATGTGTAGTTTTTTTTAATTTTGCACCTATTAAAACAACTTGCTCACCTGAGTGCTCCAGCTCACCTGCTTTACTCATTTAGTTGTCCTCCAGCTGTTGGAGCACAGATGTAGTGGATGACGTGCAGACCCATTGCACCTGATTAAAAAACAAAGCAATGTTTGCAGCAAAACACACACCAAGTGTAAAGCCTCATTCTCTGTTTTAGAAGCTGTTAATGAGCCATCAGCACACACACATGCACGCACACACACACACACACACACACACACACACACACACACACACACACACACACACACACACATACACACACACACGCACGCACGCACGCACGCACGCACGCACGCACACACACACACACACACACACACACACAGGAAACCACTGGAACACACCACTCAGAGACTCAATGTCCCACTTTGTTCTACATGCTCACTCACTAAACTTTATAACCATTCTGCTAGGGGGCTGATGGTCAGCATTTTGGTTTGGCTCTGGCCTAGCCATCCTTTTTTAACGTTTTAACGTTAGAATGGTGCCGGTTTGTAAAAGTACTCCGTCTGAAAATCCACTCATGTGCTGGTGGTGGCCAGTACAAGCAGCCTGTGAAATTAAGGTAACAAACACATTCTTGCTCAGGTTTTAGAGCCCCCGGAAACAAAATCCAAGCATTTCTGCCAGTTTAACTCTTCTTTAGGAAGACCGGATTGGGATCATATTTGTCTTGCAGCCAAAAATGAATAGTCAAGTCCTAGGCATTAACAAAAGTGAAGATCCTCATCAGCTACCCAGAGGGAGTGGGCGTTAGTGTTTACAGTGCAGGGAATGGGGGATCTGGATTCAATACTACTTGGATGGGGAGGAGTGGGGCATGATGACGCAAACTGGCCCCATCCAGCCGTTTACATTAGCTGGGCAGACTGGCAGAGGATCTGCAGCTGAGAGAGGAAAATGTATGTGAGCAGCCAAAGACTGCTTTGGAAGTGTTTTTGATGACGAAATAAGAATATAACATGACCAGAAGCTCCAAAAAGTGGATTTTGCATGATATAGGACAATGTCATCCTCTGCCCGCTGATAAACGCAGAAGGAAGTGACGACACCACTAACAGCGGCGAAGCTCTGAGGAAGACTACAGTGTTAGTCAAAACATCAACAAAAAAAGGTAAAAACAAATATTTTGCTGTATTAAAAAAGAACCAAGTGATGAAGTTGGACGAGCCGCACAGAATGAACGTACAAAAGACATAGAAATGCAATTTTAACAAGGACGTTTCTCATAATAACAAAAAACATTGTTATCATTATGAGATACTGCTCTTTTTTTCTTTGCACTGATGGCAATACGCTTCTGCAATCATGCACATATTATAAGTCAATAAAAATGCATAAAACAAGAAATAAGATATTGAACCTTAAAGTGATTATGTCATAATTGCCAGTGTGAAGGCGAGCCATCAGCATTGCCAGGTCATTGGCTTCAGAGCCGCTGTTGGTGAGATAGATCACCTGGACAAGGAAACACATCAAGAGAAGATTTAATTAAAGATCTAAACTTGTGGATCATCTAAAAACCCACCACTGTACCTTAAGAGGATCTGGAAAATAGGAGACTAGTTTTTCGCAGTACTCATGGAGGGTAGGATAGACATAAATGTTCGTGGTATGCCAGAGCTTTTTCATCTGCTGCTCTGCAGCAGCCCTTACTTTCCTGTGCACATATGCATTAAGAACATGTTTGAACCGGTCTGTACCAACAGAAATGAAAAATAATGACACGGTCTGACAAAAGAACAAGAATCATACGGGTGACAATGGCCCACACTGACAGTAGCCACACCAGCAAACAGATCCAGGTATCGTCTCCCGTCCACATCCCATAACCACTGCATGTAGCCCTGGTGGATGAACACTGGCTTTTTATAATAGGTGACCTTCATGGTCATAGGGCTGCAGTTCTGTTGGCGAATTTCCATCATCCGTGCCTTTGACATGCCCTGCACAGTCAAACAAAACTTAGGTCAAGATATTCATCATCTCTCTCTCTCTTATTTGATTGGGGCTTTTTAAAGCACAGGACTGTGTGAGATCATTAGAGCCACTTGAGAATGAGGGTGTGAATGTAATAACTTCATTGTTAATGATGAGAAGAGAGAGCGCATCAGCTGGATTATATCTAGCCTGAGTAGATAACATTTCAAATATAGATTTAGATCATGTATATCCCTAAATGCTTGAAGGTTGTTCTTACCTTGTATTCCTCTGGACTAAAACTGCAGGGTGGCATCTCTGGCACGTCTGCAGGAGGGGATCTCAAGGCTGATTTCTGACATAATGCACCTACATTTGTGATAAATGTCAGTCAGACAGGGAAAGCCCTAATCAGTTTGTTGTGTAACTGAAGTGACCAGCTCTGTGCCAGAAGCAGTTAGTAAGGCAGTCTGCCTCATTGCTCACATTTCTGACAATCTTTTTAATGGCTAATTACTAATAAGCAGACACAGTAGATATAAAAAAGTGACTTCCCCAAAGCCATTTGATGATTTTATGTTATTTATAAAGACTTAAGTTACCAAATCAAATCTAGGCAGACATTTTCTTGTATCAATAATAAGATTTCCTCAGATCCTGCATTATGTAAGTTATTAGAATAAAATGCTGCCTGTTCTTGTTCATAAAAAGCAGCAATCTGGGAGGTAGCTGCTCAGTTTATCCCATAATAAATCTGGGAACTGTAATGTATTTCAGAGAAACATTCAGGGGTTTGGCTGAATCCAAGAAAGGTGACATGACGTCCCGCAGCTGTTAAGTGTGCTGCTAAATTAAGTAATTATCAAGTCTGTTGTGCTCAAACATTGTGGTTTATTGCAGAAAGTTCAGTTTAGGTTATTTGTGGTCTCTAATATGAATGAATGAATGAATGAATGAATGAATGAACGAATGAATGAATGAATGAATGAATGCTTAGTGAGTTGTTTTTAGGAAAAACTAACTCTGGCGCTCCTGTTTCAGGAAGCAGAAGTTTCTCTGAGGAGTGGGGGTGGAAATCGGCAGGATTTACACTGAGTGTGAAACAAATGCAAACCACAATTCATGCGGCTTCTGGACAGACTGCCATTCACACTTGCTGTGGATAGTATTTGGAATGTCTACACAATGTTGCTCACAAGTTCAAGCAAGTTCACAAGATAACAACTATGTGTGTAGAGACGAGCTGGAAAACTTAAGCCACACTCACTCGTCTTCTCAAACTATCATTAACTGTGAACTGATATCCTGGTCATTAATGACAAGAAAAGCTGACAGAATGAAGCTACACAGGTTTTAACATGGCTGCTTTAAATACCACCTTGTCTTTACACTGAAACACAACCTTTTCTAGTGATGTCACTTATTTTTTAAGCTGGTAATAATTGGCTCTTTGGTTTAGTTCAGTGGTGCCCAATCCTAGTCCTGGGGGCCTTATCCAGCATATTTTTGTTGTTTCCCTGCTTCACCACCTTTGATTCAATGGTTAAATCGCTTGTTCAGAGCTCTTGCAGAAGTATGTAAATCCCCTGCTGATTAATATGTGGTGTTATAGCTAAGAAACACTAAAACATTCCGTAGGAAAAAGAAAAATCATCATATGTTGTGTTTTGGATGCTGGTCGAGCATGCAATGCTACTCCAGCAGGGACGCTGTTAAATGGATTCTGGACCAGCATCCCACCGTAGTCCAGCATGGTGGACCAAAATCCAATTCACAGCACTCCATGCTGGACCAGCATCCAAAACACAACATATGATGATTTTTTTCAGCAGGGATGCTGGACAGTGGCCCTCAGGACCATGGATTAGGATTCCCTAGTTTAGTATTTCCCCTCAGCTCTCCTGTCATTAGTCATGCTCACCTGATTCTCATCAGCTCACCTCCTGTCTCTGTTTTGTTATCACGTCCCTATAAGACAGGGGTCATCACCAACCTGGTACCGGAACTATATGAGGGGCTCTCAGGCCATTTCTCCAAATAGCACAAGTCTAACATAACTAAATATAAGATAAGCACAGAAAGAAAGTTCAGCTTCAGGCAGCAGCAGGTAAGCAAGCGTTTTTGGGAGGCTGAACATGCCTGGTTTCCATGGTAACTCACCACACGCAATGTGGATTCGGGCCAAAGTGGGCGAAATGCAGGGCTGTCTCGTTAAAACCGCCAAACGGCCACGAAGAAAAGAGGCAACTTTATGCATGTTGAGCACAAAGAGATGAGGACCCAGAGCAGTTCAACTTTTATCCGCGTCCTGACTCTGAGCGGCGCGTGCTGTCTCAGAAAACAGCGAAACGAGGCGTTGGTAGGGGGCCAGCAGTGACTGGCTACTCCACGCCCGCGCCCGACAACGTCACAGGTTACGTGCGCGTGGACAGCATTCAACATGGTTACCGAATAATCTATAACACACATTCAAAACATGTACTGAAATCACTATCCTTGTTTGTTTAATGTGCGTTTTCGTTATTTCAAGGGGCGCTATTACACATATGTGCATGGACCTACTATTATACATGTATGTATTTAGTATAAATTATCATTATTGGGACATTTAAATAAGAACAGACAGACACACACAAGGAGAAAAACCCTTTTTGAGGCGAATTTATTATAAACATATTTTAACTGCAAGCTTCCATAAAGATCTAAGGGCTGTTTCAAAGGGCATTGAAAATCACCTGATGTGTAGCTGTACAGTACAGAAACATGTACATGAACAATAAAACTGTCAGTGTTAAACAGGGTCGTCCACGCAGATTATGACACTAATTCCCCATCAAAAACGAAACACATTTGTCCAAATGTTTTTTTTTCTCAAAACCGATTACACAAAAATATTCTCTTAATGGAAAAATAGATTTCTTTAAACTTCTTTTCAAACAACCTGTCAAAAACACTCAAACTGATACAAACACACACTAATATACACTTATAAACTAACATAAAGCATCTTTAAATGAGGTTTTCTTTAAAACTTTACTGGCGTAATTGGAAAAATAAATCTTCCTGATAGTGTTCACTTGTTTCGTAGTGTTCTTGTGATTCTCTGGTAGGAACTTTCTAAAATGATACCCAGAGATTTCCCACTGGTGTGTATCTAAGACAATATCCTGAGACAACCACAGACATGATACACATAGCGTTTATACTTCTTTATTCATTGACCATTCGTGGTCCATGACGGGCCCTGTTATCTTGTCAAAAATAATTTCCATTAGTGGCAAATGTATCATTGCACACAGAACATAATTACCTTTTTAATTCACATTGATTAAGAAGAGGACCCTCTGTTGAGCTAAACTTTTAAAAGTTAAGGGCCACAAATCCACTCACTGAGTCAAATCGTTATTTTTTTTCATTCTCATCCATTTGTATTCATACAGTATGCAATAAGCAGCTTAAATCTAGTTTTCCTTAAAGGTAAGGGAGCCAAGATTTACAGTAGAATCACAATATAATCATCTTGTACCATCTACGTTACAAAATCAATTCTTTCTGTAACTGAAGAATAAACTTCTATTCATTCAGATTATTTTGGTTATTCAAAAATTAGAGTTACAGCAGAAGAAGATGGAAAAATAAATAGTGCTATTTATCTGGTAGCAAAATATTGTCTTTGCAACCACTCTGCAGGAGCCATTCAGTGTTAGTGCTCTTTTGATTCTGTTTTTTTTTTGTCCTTAGGACGAAAGCTTGTGCCGCACCTAGTAGGTGGGTAGAGTGAACACAGAGGTGTCAACGTAACCCCCGACCACCCTTTCATCCTGGACTGATGGGGCAGGTTGACTGCAAGGACTGGTGAATGTCGTGTTGGTAGTCTTTGATGGGTCACTCTCTGGCAGCTCCTCATAAGAGCACATGTCCATCCCTTCCTCCACGCCCTCCCTCTGGAGCAACAGGAGCCCGTTGTCATTGTCCACACACTTCACCTTGCTGTACTCTTCTGTCTGGTGCCAGTCAGGATAGCTGGTTTCTGGATGTGAGGGAACAGGATGCAGAATGACCATGTTCTGGTCGCTGACCCTCTGGACTTCGACGTACTCGGTGAACCGGACTGAAGGTAGCTGAAGGTGGCCGATGTTGGAGACGCTGGCATTTTTGTGGGCCTGGAGCTGCTGATGGGCCTCCATCTGCTGATGGAGTAGATGAAGTTGCTTGTTGCTGATGCCAAACTGCCAGTAGCTAGATCCAATCTCATCTTTGGTGTTGTGACCTAGGTGAGGAAAATGGGAGGGCAAGGGCCCAGCGGCGAACAGGCTGTCAGAAAGGCAGGGCTGTTTTGATGTCTCATGTGAGTTAGGTTGCTGCAGAGGGATGGGGCTGTACTCAGGCAGTGGAGAAAATGAGGAAGGCCAAGTCTTTACCTTCTCACTAGACAACTGATGGCTGTCCACATTTTCAGGAGAACATGTCAGATATTTGTCCTCCTCATCTTGTCCTTTTCCATCCATCTTAATTTCACTGCTCTGCTGATCGGGTTGCTGTCCCTTCTCTTCTTCACTTTTATCTATGAGCAGGGTGTGACTGTCACAGCTTCCCCGACCCGAGTCGCAGTCCGAAGTGGAGTTCTCAAATTTAAGGCTGCCATTGTGTAGCTCTTTTGTTTCCTCCAGCATCAACTCTCGCTCTTCTGGGACGAACACCTCTAGGTATTCCACAAGGAGGTCCTCATAATTAGTGGTCGTGGGAGGGAAGTTGGCCCCTATCAGTGAGCTGAAGGCATCCATGGATTTGCCATCCTGCAAACAAAATAAGCATTCTTATTTTTAGATAGACTCAAAAACAACTTCCCTTGTACTTTAAAGCACAACTCAAGTCTTCAAAATGACGCTTTACCTTTAGAAGCTGTTCATCAAATCCTTTAATCTTAGGTCCAGGAACGGAAGGCAGAATGCACTGCTTCAGGCTGCAAAAACATTAAAGATAGAGAAAAATTAAGTACATTTTGTTGAAGGTAAATCAGAGTTTGAAAATAAGTATATTTGATTGCTAAATGTAACATAACAGCCAAAAACTAAGATGTTTACAGTTTAAAAACACTCATAAGTTCTGCATATTTTGTTTTCAAGGACCTGAAGCTGCTTCTGATCTTCAGCAGCGATCCTGATCTAGTCAACTGAAGGGTTTTCAGGATTTTCTGGAGACTAATTTTGCTACTTCTGTTATCTTAAGTTTATTTCAAATTGACCATGACAACATATTGTTTTTCATACCTTTAACTTACAGGAAAAATCAAAGAAAATGTGAAAGTTTTATTCATTTAAAGCATTTAGGGTTACAGGATAATAATAATAACAATAAAATTCCTGAAGAATTTTTAAAGGGGACCTGCCCGCCAGTCCTTTTCATGTAACATTTGTTGTGGTGCACACCCGTAATGAAGAAATAATTTTGTGAAGAAAATTTTTAATGAACCATGAGAAGGTTTGCAATGTTTTTTGCTAATAATTTTGCTACGGAAAATCAGATCTCTTAGAAAAGAGAAAGCACACCTCTCACAGCCTTGCCGCTCGTTTTGATGTAAAATGTGTGGGGGTGCATGCAACCGTTCGCTTAATGAACACAGGCAAAATAAACACATGTGTAATAATGATAGTAATAATAATAATAATAACAACAACAACCCCAATAATAATAATAATAATAATAATAATAATAATAATAATCATAATAGGAAATTAATAATGTGGGATGGTGTTTTTTATACTCTAACATCTAATTAAAAAATACTTTTGGTAGTTATTTTTAGTAAAGTCCAGTTTATACTTCAATAATATGTAAGGATTGAAATGTGCTCGAGTTAACCTGCCAGTAAAATGATAATAATAATAATAATAATAATAATAATAATAATAACAACAAGGAACAGACAACTGGGTGATGCAAAAAGAAAGGTCACACACAACTCTTGACATTCATAACCCCCACCCCTGGAAAATATCAAGCAAAGACCTGAAGCAGGACCTAAGAAATTAACCCTTCTGTTGGTCTGCTTTTGACAAGTTCTCAGAACGGTGTTGGTGCAGTAATCCAGTCTTGATGTAATAAATGCATGAACTAGTTTTTCAGCATCACTTCTGGAAAGAATGCTTCTAATCTTAGCAATATTCCGAAGGTGGAAAAAGGAAATCCTACAAACCTGTTTAACTTGGGATTTGAATGACATGTCCTGGTCGAAGAGAACACCAAGGTTCCTTACTTTGTTCTCGGAGATTAATGTAATGCCATTCAGGTCAGGTGATTGACTAAGCAATTTCCTTTTCTGGATTTCTGGTCCAAAGATGAGAACTTCCGTCTTGTCTTGATTTAAAAGCAAAAAGTTTAGAGTCATCCAATTTTTTATGTCCTCAAGACAAGCCTGTAATCTACCCAACCGATTAGGTTCATCAGGGTTAATGGATAAATATAACTGAGTATCGTCAGCATAACAGTGAAAGTTTATCCCATGCTGTCTAATGATTTTACCAATTGGGAGCATATATATAGTAAAAAGAATTGGTCCAAGCACTGAACCCTGTGGTACTCCGCAAGTAACCCTGGGGTATGAGGAAGATTTGTCATGTACATTTACAAAATGAAATCTACCAGACAGGTAGGATTTAAACTAGCCTGGCGCTGTTCCTTTGATCCCCACAACATGTTCAAGTCTTTCTACAAGAACATTGTGATCTACTGTGTCAAAGGCAGCACTGAGATCTAACAAGACTAGAACAGACACAAGATTCTTATCTGAGGCCATGAGAACATCATTTGTAACTCTCACTAATGCAGTTTCAGTGCTGTGATACTCTCTAAAACCAGACTGAAATTCCTCAAACAGAGCATTAGTGTTTAAATGCTCACATACTTGGATGGCCACTATTTTCTCCAGGACTTTGGATAAAAATGGAAGGTTAGATATTGGCCTATAATTCATTGGACAGGTCGCCCACAAGTTAAATATCTAAATATCTCATTTAACAGTGGATCTTTGCTAAAATGTTGAAATCGATCAAGCCCACATAATCATTTTTATGTCTAAATGAGTTCTAAGACAAGGAAATGTGAAAACACACACACACACACGCACGAACACCCGCGCACACACACACACACACACACACACACACACACACACACACACACACACACACACACACACACACACACACACACACACACACACACACACACACACACACACACACACACACACACACACACACACACACACACACACACACACACACACACACACACACACACACACACACACACACACTGTGCTAATAATAACTTCAAGCCCAGCTCTTTGAAAACAACATATTAATGGTTAAATACTTTTGACCATTACTGTATCCACTCCAATGACTTGGGAATAAAACTTGGCACATAGTTTCAGTGAGTTTCTGTCATAAGATTAGCTTGAAAACATGTATAAAAAGGACTTTCAGGCTCTCTAGCAGCACCACATTAAAACCAGTGTTGATATACTTTTTATTAAATTTCCCTGCAGACAAAAACAAGGTTTCTGATCATTATGATGCTAATTAATATAACAAGGGGACTGACATCACACACTGCTTTGGTAATCACTTGGTTTTGTGCAGATTTAACTTTCTGGCCTCAAATTATTCCATCGCTGATGGAAGTGTCCAAACGGGTGCAGCGCGTTCCTCATTTATTTAACCCTCTCAGGCTCAAAATAAGTTTTGATAAAAGGACGAACAACTAAGTCCTTCAGGGGTAATTCTGAGTTAAAAAATGCTCATGAAATACGTATGTGGAGTAACCAGGTAGGTAGGTTTTAACTGTTGCAGATCTGCAACGCCTGCCTCCTGAGGGTTAACCTTTTACATCTTACACAGTGTACTATTATGTCTATTTGTTAGACACATTCAGTGGCAAGGTTTCTTACTTGTGACAGTTCATGTGAATAAGCCAGGTGATGATGAACAAGGCAAAAGCAGAAAAGATCACAGCCAGGACCCACATGGACTTTTCTCGATTGAAATCTGAAAGGAGCAAAAACAAGTGTCTCACCACACAGGGTCCTTTTTGTACGTCTCTGGATAAATGCAGTCCTTTTCTTCTATTCTGTCAGCCATTGTTAAATCAGTAGTTATAAATAGGCTTACAGACTTTCTCTCTGATAATTAAATCTCACACATCTGGTTGACCAAGCCTATAGGTCATGCATGAGGAGCATGACAGTAATATTACAAATAAACCCATAAGTATGTCTAATGATCACTGATTAATGTATCATGTCTGTCATGCATAACAACTAAAAACAAAAGTGGAGGATTGAACATCAGGGGAACACAGGAATGTTCTGAAACATAATCTACCATCAGTCTGGGTTTCTATGGAAATGAAGTTGTTGTAAATTTATTAATACTATGTAGTTTTTTTTGAATGGAAGCAACAACAATTAGCAAACTCATCTTGGTAATTAGTGTGGAGATGCTGTGTAACCATAACAACTACATCAATGCCACACTGTTGGAGATGCAAACACACTAATTGTAATGCTTTTCTTCTTTGCAACTGCTTTTTGAGTATTATTGTTTTAAATGGTCAGAAGGTCAGACTAAACCTACTCTGCTTGTGTCAAACCAACTCTGGACCTGTGGATTTATACATTATGATTCATTCCTCAAACTTTTAGCAATTTTCTCAGAGAAGTAAATGTTTTGTTTGGGCGTCCGACATAAACTGATGGTTTATTAGCAGTATTTCTATGAAGCATTACTAACATTTTGATGTCAGTGTAGTACACAGCAAAAATCCACTTTATATGACTGGGCCTGCTACACGATCAGAGCAAATCTAAAGTTGTTTAAAGAGCAAGTCACCCCCAAATGAACTTCTTTGCTGATAAACTACATAAATGAGTGTCTAATCATGCTGTAGACACATGCAGTCAATAATTTGGCACTTAAGTGCATCTTAGTTAAAATTTAAATTTTCTGCTTAAACCGTCAGCGTTGCACCCTCGTCAAGTAAACAATTAAAATATGCCATTGCTATTGGCTAAGATGTACCTGTAACGATTCATGATGTTTCATACCTTATGATGTTAGCTGGTACCATATGATGTCAAAATGCCACTCTGTGTGTGTGTGTGTGTGTGTGTGTGTGTGTGTGTGTGTGTGTTATGTGTGTGTTTGTTAGTGGCTTCGTCCTCTTGGTCTACCAGGCAACGCCTCCTTGTGGTGCATTTTTCAAACAGGAAATGGGAGTGGAGTAAGACTCTGGTATGGGGTGACTTGCTCTTTAAAAAGCTAAAAGGTATTATTTATTGTTTTGTTGTTTTATAAAACAGTCCAAATGTAACACATTTCCCTGATTAAACCTTCGAAAACTGTATTTTATCTTCGTAGACATAAATGTCATTTGCTGGTCGATGACTCACATTCAGGCACTTTAACGTACTGCGACGAGCTCCATTCACTCCAAAAGCCATGATCAGGTTTACAGCGCACCTGAACCAAGTATTTACCCCCTGAGCAGAGGCTGAAAATGTTAAATGTCTTCTGTTGGCCTGCAGGGTGCTCCTGGAAACAAATCACACGGTTATAAGAGCCTGGTCAACAAACACATCAGCTATGTTGGGGCTTGAGCTGCATGCAAACAATCTCATTCGAGAAACAAATGCATAACTCACGTGCTGACTCCATTACTCACCTCCCATTCATCTTCATCCTCCAACTTGATCCGGAGCTCATAGATGAGGGTGATCCAACCTGAGCGAGTGTCGGCTTTCTGCGGGGATTCCCACGACACGTGGAGGTAGGGCCAGGTTTGGTCCCAGAGGACGGTCAGTGCTAAGTTCTCCGGAGGATTGGGCTTGACTGAGAGTGAGGAGAGAAAGGGTGAATCCCAAACTGAAGCACAGTGCATTTGTGAGTGTGTTGGTGTGCCTTGCACTGTGGGACTGCAAATCAATAGGCACCTCCAGCGGAGGAACTCTGATACTGCACTTCTAACCTTTGAAATATCTGCTGACCCATGTTCAGGTTGAGATAGGTGGAGATGTTTTGGCGTTACATTGTCATGTTGGAGACATAATGGACAATGTGACAGGGAAACTGATAAAACAAAGGTCTGCTATGGAGTAAGTGTGACTATCAAAGACAAAGGGTAAAAGGAGCACTTACAGATAAACAGCCTCAAGGCCAAGGTGGATGCTTCACAGAATGACACCCCCTTCATACCTCATTACCCAGGCTGCAATGCTCCAATTTTAGCAGCATAACTAGATGTTTGAAAAGCCTCTTTTAAATATGGCATTTTTAAAGAAATCAATTTAACGTTGGCTATAAAGAGGAGCATGGCAGCACTTGATGCTCTCTGATTTAGTTGCATTCTTCCCAAAGCCCTTTATAATAGTTGTTTATAAGAAAGAAACCTGAAAATTAAAGCTGGTTTAATCTGAAAAACGATCTTTTCACTATATTAACCAGGTGTTTTAAACTGAGTTCATCTACCAGCTTGTTTTTATGAACTGTCACTTTAATAAAACGAGAACTTCAGCTGGGAGGACAGAGGGAATGAACCCTGCAAAAGTAACAAAGGAAGCAACTTTTCTCGTGTGCACATCCTCGCAAGCTTGTTGTGTCTACAGCGTCAGACTAAACCGTGAGAGCACGTTTCCCTCACCTATGTAGACAACGTCAATGTCGACGGGGTCGGAAAATGTCCTCCCCAGAGCGTTGGTGGCCACCACCGTGATGTTGTAGTTGACCCAAACGGACGTGTCGTTCTTGTTGAAGAAGCAGGAGTTCTCTCCGGCCGTGCGGTAGTCTGGACACTCGAACACCTTGTCAGAGCTGTTGAGAGGACGAGGAGCACAGAGCGTAAATAGTGTGTGTGTGTGTGTCATGCTGCACTGTTGCACGGAAAGAATAATCCGTGTTCTTCACGCTACAATTTCTTAAACTTTGTGTGTGATTGAAAAGGAAGGATAAAAATAAGAGAATGATACATAAAAACAAACAATAGTGACTTCTGTGTTTTATGCAGAAATAAAATAATAAAAAACAACCAGAGCCATCAACTCTAAACTAAATGTTCTTCCTGTTTCCACGACTGCACTCATATTGAGGCCAGCATCACACATACACACGTCTTTGTATGTGTGTGTGTGTGTGTGTGTGTGTGTACATTGTTTTCTAAACACATGCATTTTTCATAAAATTATGAATGAAGTAAAGTGTGATCATGGTCTGCAATATCTAAAATTAAAGCCAAAGTACAGAAAGTACAATAATATTACGATTAAAATCAAAGCTCGTTAGAAATATTTTTGCTGATATAATGTGCTGCACTTGTCAACCGGTACCAGTTCAAACCCCTTTAGACCTGAGTGGTTAAGTGAACCCAGCCCTGCGTGTTTCTTTAGAACATGCCGTCGTTACTGTAGCAGCGGTCTTGTTTCTTTCTAATAGAACTTGGGGAAGAAGTGTCACTGTCATCCTGCAATCAAGTTCTTTGTCGTTGATCCAAATGAAGTGAATTACTGTTGCTGCTACTGTTTTATAGACGAAAACTATATTAAAATGTTCAACCGTCATAATAAAACGTTATTTTGTTGTTTTCCTACTTTACCTTTACACTTGCCTGCTACGCAAAACCAACTTGTAATTAAAGTTTTAATCCTAAACATTTGTTTTTCAAATCTAAAGGTCTCGCCTGCTACTGAGCTGAACCTCGATGGCAGGATTTAGACTGCAAAGAGTAAAAAAAATTGTTTGCAGTCTATTTTGGAAAGACAATAGATGGGAAATTGTGTGGGAACCTCATTTAATCAGGTGGTCTCTGGTAGGAACAAAAACCTTGCAAGCAGTACTCAGGGCAAAAAGCCCAGAAGTGCTTGGATCAGCATGGACAAGTCTGCTGCAGCAGTCTTATTTCCTGATATTTGGACAGTGTGATGTAGATCTGTCAGGCTTTTCTAATCCTAGGTTTTCACCATCTATTTTCTATTTGAAGCTAAAGCAGGAGATAGGTGTTGGAGACTATTTTCATGTCCAGCCTGCATGAAAACTCACAGTGAACAATTATAATCAGAAATAATATTTAAAACATGTTTTTTTAGTTCCACACCTCTAAAATACAAAACACCAAATATTTTTTGAGTTAACAAATAAAAGCTTTAGTTTGAATTTGCAATTTAAGTTTTGTAATCTATTTAATTAGTCATCTTGGTTTATATGTTTATGAATTCAAATGAATGTATTTATCTGAAAATTGAGAGGCGATGCAAGGCCATTGTCGGTAGTAATTACATTTAAATGTGGATTCAGGGTGTTTTCTTTTAAACATCAGCCTTTGTGAAAAAGCATACCTTCACAATGCTCTTATTTAAATAAAAAACCCATTGGAAACACAAATATATCTTCCTACTGAATGTAAATCAACAAAAACTAAGATTTCAAAATAAAAAGGAGTTCAAGTCATAACCGACTTTATAAACTAGTTCAAAAACACTGTAATTCAGAGAGGTTTATAATAAATGTAATGAAACCAAAATTATCAATGCACTGAAGTACAATATAAAATGCAGTGAAAGTCTCTAATTAAACTTGATCTTTAACTGAATAGAAAAAGCTCATATTCAACACACAAATGAGAAAATGAAGAGGTTTTAGGTGCTTTTAACTGGTCTGCAGCTTCATCATGACTCACAGATGGTCCTCAAAATAACAAAAGGATCTTAAGCGTGTCTTTGGTGGGGACGTTCTGATCACATTTGTTTGCTCTCAATCCGATTCCAAGTAATCAAATTGTGAGTATCTGCTGATACTGAGTCCCAATCCGATACTTCAGCCAAGCATTAAAATAAGAATAACAAAGAAAAAACACATCCACATTTTCCTTTATTGTTTTTATTATTATCTAGGTATTTATTTATTTCTGCATTTATGTATTTTCCTCAGTTTATCTGCCAAAAAACATCACTTGTTTAGGAAGTACACTGATAAAAAAAATGTGTTTATATTATTAATATATTTAAAAATAGCGGAGTTGCTCATATTTCAAATTTACTTCCTCATTAAGCGGCTCTATTGAGTGATGTGTGTTCCCGTGATGGGGGAGGCACGCAGCGCCACAGCCAGCAGACTAACTTTTATCTGCACAACACCTGTAGCTACGCCAGTTAGCTCAGGTGCTGCAGAATGAGAAACCACAACGTTTTGCTGTCTGTCTGCAATTTTTCTGTGTATATTATTGCATCTTTCACTGTTGGCTGGCTCTGTGTTTTTATTAGAGATGCTGCTGTGAACTGGGGCTTAATGCAGACTGATGAATCGCTCTGGCGACGCCTGAAGGGAAAAGCCGAAGGAGACGGTAGTTCATTTTGAAGATGCTTATCATACAGCATGTTGAAGGCATGGTATGGACACATTATAAGTGGCTGTTACACTGCCTTCACTGTCCGGTTTAAAACACCACCATAATACAGACATTTTAGCTCTGCTGTGGAGACATGTTAGCTACATGCTTTAGCCTACTAGCTAACAGCTGCATGTAATGTGCCTGTGACTTAATGGTGTTATTTTTGTCCAAGAAACAAAGAATGCTGACGTAGAAAAACTTGTTGAGATTAAAACTAAACTGTTGTTTGAAAATCTCTATCTCAGGGTAAATTTAAAAACTCATGTTTGTTATTTTCAAAGGTTAAATCCGATCTTTTTCACACGATTCAGATCCTTTAAAAACATGCGTTCGGATCAGAGAATCAAACTCGAGAAATAAAAACTTAGCAAATCACCTAGCATTACTGGAGTGATTGCCTACGACCTTTCAGACCAGAGTTTTAAAAAAAGGATCACCTGACAGGTGATGGAGTTTAAAGTTAAAGAGATACCATAAACATGTCTGGACTACTGTGGAAGAATCTTCCACCTGCTTGTACATTTATAAATGTAAGAGTAAAAGAAAAAGAAGGGCGATACGACTTAAGGCAGAAACGCATTGGAAGGCAGAAACGCATTGGAGTGCGAGTTAAAGTGACAGTGTGCATATTTTCTGGTGATAGGGGGCAGTATATACCTGAATTGTTGCATTCAAGCTGTATTTTTGTGTTAGAGTAAGACTTTGCCAATGGATGCCCATTATGGTCAAAAAGCCCCGGGGAGTGCAAACTTCAGCAAAATGACAAGCACATCAGACTCCCTTTCATCACTGACAATGAGTGAAGAGGCAAATGTGTAAAACAACAATGTTTATGAATGGTGAAATTTTTTAACCGCTGTTACAAATCAGTAAATGCATTTTGTCCTCAAGAGCTCCAGTAGAAGGAAACATGGCGTCTAATATGGCGTCACCCAGAGACTTAGACCCGCTCCCATATATTTTAGACCTGATTTTTATGGTTATATGTTACGAAGCCGCCATGCTTTTTCAACAACTGGGAATCATTTAATAAATTTTCAACAACATTTTGGTTGATATTTACTGAAATTAACAGTAACAACTACACATTGTCACTTTAATAGTGGAAACCAGTGACATCATGGCAACACTTGGTCCAACTCCCAGCTGACTGACCTCCTCGAAGCCAATAGGATTAAATAATTGTTTCACAACAACATGTCCTAAATACATTAAAGAAAATCTTCTGATTGGGTGTTCTTGAAGACAATGTCTCAGGTTTATATCATCAGAGAAGATCAACACCACCCAGACCAGAGCTTTTTACTTGTATTCAGTTTTTCTGATGAATAGTTATGGTTGCCACATGTTATATAGCCTTCGTGTCTTCATGTTAAACTGAAGATGTATTGGGAACTGCAGAACAAAAAGTTTCTGTGCAGTTGAATTTGTCTCTTAAAACTCAGATTTATGACAATCCAGAACAAACATTTCTATAAAACTGTTCACATCCAAATGAACGCTAACTCTTCAAACATTATATCTGTTTTTTTACATGCAACAACTTTAAACAAATAATCAGGACACTGATGAGTGGATGAAAGACTTCACAGAGCTCCTAACTTCATCTTCCTGTGCACCCAACAGTTTCTATCTGCTCTGCAACCTTCGCTTTATCCACACTCAGTTTCCATCTATTTCTTCCACCAACACGCAGCTTGCTGAGGAAAATAAGCTTTGAACAAAACGGAATCCTCTGCTTCCCTACATCTGTGTTGGCACACTACCAGGATTGCCTTTAAACCGTATCGTCACAGCAACGAGCACCACCACATCACCTTTATCCTCTTACAGCAGTCTGCTGGGGTTCACTCTGAGGGCAGCAGATGGACACTCAGGAAACTAAAACATTCACTCAATATTTAGTGGTATTCAATTTGGGCAGGGGCAACAGGAATGAGGGCTGTTAGCTCCACTATGGAGCAATTGGATTGCTGTGATTGATCAACCCTAACCTCATCGTGCCCATGTTGCTAACGCACGTTAAATTCACCACTAACAACAGTGTTGTGGTTGTATTTGTGCATTGTGGGTGTTTGATGTTTAATTTGTTCAATCAATCCATGCAGGCTTAAAGACCCCCTCCAATGAAAATCGTGTTTTTTTTTCTGGTTTTAACATATTATTGAGGCATTTTTCTTAAGCTACAGGACATATCTAAAACAATTTAAGCTCAAAGTTGCATTTCTGAGAATTTCTGCATTCAAATCGCTGACCCTTGAACTGGACTAGCCCAGAGTTCAACTAAAATGTATGTAAAACAAACATATTTTAATGTTTTTCAATGAAATTTGTTGTTTCAATATCTATATTACTGTAATGCATTTGTGATTAAAATGGCAGCAGATTTATTTATGTATTTATGTCAGACTTGTGCTATTTGGAGAAATACCCTGAGGGCCCCTTTTATGGTTCCTGGGGACATCACGGGGGCCCGTGGGCACCAGGTTGGTGACCCTTGCTCTAAACAGTCCAGGAAAGCTCAGGGAACGTTGTGTTGTGGGATTTATTATCATTAACATTACTATTACTAATGTTATTTTTATTGTGACAGTTTAAAGAGATAATGATACGAGAGTAATGTTATGTGTCACAGTTTTATTTTGAAGGGCAGTTCAGGGGGTGGAAGGGTTGTTGCTGGTTCCGGTCAGCGGCTGTTATGCTAAGGAAAGCCGCTCTGTTCTGAACTGTTCTGTGGATAAGTGGAGAAGTTGTAAGCAGTGGGTTACTGCTGACATTAGTCTGAATAAAATGTCACTAGACGAGTAAACCGAGAGTTCACCCTTCTCATTGGGCATGTGGGACTGCTCTTACTTTACCAATAAACATAGCGCTGCGTTTTATTTGTCTTTTGTTTTATTTCACCAAACATTTACGTGATCGGCGATCACGATCATTAAGGATTTTTTCTAGCCACGTTCTTCCTCGAAGACGATGGGCTCATACTATCCTTTCAGTTTTTAATAACGCGTTGGAGAGTCCTTAACACAATTTTAGTCATTTCTACAATCTCTTTAAAGGTTTTCTCTGCTTGATGCATGCCAACTCTCTGACCCTTCTCTAACAGACTGATGTCTTTTCCCTGACCACCAGATGTGTCTTTCCACATGGTTGTTGAAGAAACAAAAAGCAACTCATTGCACCAGTTGGGGTTAAATAACCTGTGGCCAGCGGAAAGATCATCGCCCATGCAGTAATTATGCAATAGGAGGCTCGTAGCTATTTGCTTAGTTAAATCCAGGTGGCGACTCTTTTTGGCTAGGCAGTGTGAAAAAGTATGTTAAAGTATGTGTCTGTGTTGGATCAGAACCCCAAACACTTGGATTGGTACCTCTGTTTAGTAAGTACTCTGATTGTTCAGATTATCAGATTATTAAGGTAGCGCGACTCGGTTGCGAATGACCACAGTCACCAATTCTTGTCATGTGTCTTGCCCAGTATGTCTGATCTATGAATTGTGTGTACTGAAACTCTAATTTCCCTTCCCTGGGACAAATAAAGCTTTTCATTTCATTTCATCTGAGGAAAAATAAATAGATACAAATTTGTGTTTAAAAAACATCTCAAAACTTGTCCAAAAATCCCAAAGTTCATCCCAGTGATTTTCTGAAAACTAACATAACTGACGCCCAAGCAGACAATTGTTCTTTTCACAATAAAGCTGAAAATTATACTTTAAAAACACTTGAACATTTCACTCCCATGTAGACATTTGAAGATTTTGACGTGACCTTCAAAATTCTCCCAAAGCTTTTGAAAATCTGTGCATACAGATTTAAACTAGAAGCATTTTGCAGGGAGAACGCAAATATGCAGAACAACAAATGAAAAATTTGTAGCTGGACTAGAAGTTCTGAAAAACTACCTCAGTATAGAAACAAAGCTAATGTTTTGGCACATTAGGGTGCCGGTTTACCTGTACACACACACACACACGCACACGCACACGCACACGCACACGCACACGCACACACACACACACACACACACACACACACACACACACACACACACACCACATCTGGTTCAATATATGCGCTGTGATTGACCCAGCTGAATGAAGATTATATTGTAAATTCCCTAAGCAACCCATCCGTGTCACTTTTCTGTTACATATTAGTAAAAGATAAATAAGGAAACAGAATATTAAACAAGAGAGGCCAGAGAAGGGTGCTGTAGTCAAGGTCAGTGCTTAAATTATGCATAATTCAAACTTATAGTAATTGGTCACGCTTTATCATAGTTCTGCTCCATCTGTTCTCTAGCTTTCCATGGTGCATGTGGCGCTGCATGCCAATAGGTGGAGCAAGCAAGTGCTTGGGGCCAACAGAGCCCCCCAGGAGGCTGACAAACATTTCAGCCTGATTCCTGGTTTAATTTATTATTTTAATAGAGGTGAAGGGACAACAGCAGCTCAGGAGGTAGAGCGGGTTGTCCAGTAATCGGAAGGTTGCAAGTTCGATCTCGGCTCCGACCAGAGAATGCTGCTGTTGTGTCCTTGGGCAAGACACTTAATCCGCCTTGCCTGCTGGTGGTGGTCAGAGGGACCGGTGGCGCCTGTGTTCAGCAGCCTGGCCTCTGTCAGTGTGCCCCAGCGCAGGTGTGGCTACATTGTAGCTCATCCCCACCAGTGTGTGGATGTGTGTGTGAATGGGTGAATGACTGATTGTGTTGTGAAGCACGTTGGGGGGTTGTAGAACCCTAAGTTGGCACTACACAAATACAGGCCATTTACCATTTAACACATTGTTTAAAACAGTATTAATGAAATTGCTTTGAACTGAATATAAAATACAAATGAGAAAAACTGGACTGATTTTTCTTACTGTGGAAATTAAAGGACTGGAACCCTTTAATCAATATACTTACACTAGTGGCTTCTAATTGGAATAAATGCCTTCAAAGTCATACTGTGTCTGTGTGTGTGTGTGTGTGTGGGGGGGGGGGGGGGGGGGGGGATACACACACCGGTGCACTGTTTATAAGACCCAAAAGTCACCTACATCACAGCTGAGCTGCAGAAGACAGGATTTGGAGTCTTATTTCCCGATATTTGGACATCCATCATTTGATTGGATAGCAGCAACACAACTCTACCACATGGATGCTTTCTCTCCACAAATAACACAAGCCTGGAGAAGTTTCTGCTGTGTGGAGAAGTTGCTAATGCTAACAGGTAGCCTTTACTAGCCGAGATGTTGTCTGCTGACTCCCGGATGTTAAAACAACAGCAGCCTTCCACGTTAAGTCAAGATGGGTGAGTCCATGAATGTTAAGTGGCAGTGTCACGTAGATCTGTTTTCAAATCCCAGATTTTCTATTTTCTATCAGAAGCTAATGCAGGAGATATGTAGCTGTAGAAGACCATTTTCATGTTCAGCCTGCATGAAAAACTCAGAATGACTGATTGGAATCAGAAATAATCATTAAAAAATGTTTTTTTAGTGAACCACACCTTTAAAGAGTTGAACAAACCACGCCTGAACACCAGTAATCATGGCATAATTAAACCTGCAGTAGGTGAATATTTGGGTTTTAGACATTTGGTTACCTCAGTCAAATCTTCCTGTATTTTTGTTTTATTTATTTTATGATTTCTAATTTCTTTCAGAGACACGTAAACCTGTCAGGTGTTTACGTTTGATCGTTTATATCTGATTCTGACTCACAACTATCAGCTTTTATTCTGCTGCTAGTGAACTTTCTTTTATAGTTACGCCTCTATCTCCCAGATGGTGACAAAATATGAACAACTAGCAGTTGGAAGTTTCCCCAAATGTCTCAAGACTTTTGGAACGGTTCTTAAGTTTCTCACCAGCTGCATGGCCTTCCTGCTGTTTTGCTCAAACTCACTTCAAACCCCTCTCACTCTAGTTTCTGAGTGGGAAAGCGTGAGAAATGTAGGACAACTAACTTTTGGAGCTAATCTTGGCCAAACTTAGCAAAGAGAAAGGGCTCTAACTATATAACTTTTACAAATGTTGAGATAAGATTTGGTGTCCCTGTGCTGAATGAGAATGCAAGCTGCTTACTTTTCCTTGCGATAGTACAAGGCGTACTTGGTTGGAAGCCCACCGTCCGAACCCGGCTCCCACCAGCAGGTGAATGTCTCTTTTTCAGGAGACCGACATCTCGTTAGCGTTGGTTTCCCTGGTGGGCTGTAGCCTAAAGACACACGCAGCATAAAACTCAAAAACCAAATGCTAAAAATAAAACCAAATATCACAAAAAAATATCTGAGATGCACAACGTTTGAACCGAAAATACCAGAAAAAACCCTTGCTGTTACTTTTTACTAGTTAATCATGCAACCCTGGCTCCAGTTTCCTGTTTCAACAGCCAGCCAATTTCCAGACCCATCTCAGATGTCTGAAGTCATCTACTGAAACAGCCTTTTTTTTTTTTTCAAAGTCTCACTGCCGACAAACACCTATGCAATCTCCCTATGGGTATTTGAAGACATGAACTCTATTAACACACTAGCTTTCTCTGGGCCTAATTAATCTGTCCCTACTCCCGTGTCTGTTCCTCCTGTTTTAACCTTTATATCACTGACCAAAGTACACACGATTATGTCCATCTGCTGGCCAGAGATATTGTTTATTGTTCCTCCTATTTTCAGACTTCTATTAATAGAAAATCACTTTAAATGCTTAGAAAAACCCTCACAGAGAAGATGACGTTCAGTACCATTAGGTATTATGGACTATACGAGGCAGAAATATTTCATTTTTAACTGATAACATCTGAAATATTAAAACGTAATCCTACAAAAATGTCTAATTTTTATTCCTGAAAACTTTAGTCTACAAAGGCAGGTGTAATAATAATGGTTTTAATGATGCAGTTAAATGTGATGCTGTGTAAAACTAAATGTTAGGATTTCAGAAGAAAAACAACGTGTTTGTGTGCAGCACAGTTAATGTTTTACCTTGAGCTCTGGGTTATATTGTTTATATATTAATGAGCTGACTGACGTTTGTCCAGTGTCAACAGGTACAAACACAAAAAATGCATTTTTAGCAGGTTTTGAGCTAAACCTGGCTCATCTGGATAAAGAACATACCTTTTTGGCTGACATTCATGTGTCTCTTTGCAAAGAAGCAGCTCAGGTGTTTTACCTATGTTTTCAGTACACACTTGGAGGACCAACACTTACTTGTTCCGGTTGCGTGCAGCATGAATAACAGCAGCAACCGCAGCAAAATACCTCCCTCAGCCTTCCTCATCGTGGCACCACAAAGACTCGGCTGTGGGACGGAGAAGAAAACAAACAAAGACAGGTGAGGATGGGGAAAGTTACTGATCTGTGCTCTTGACAAATCCTTTGACCTGTGATGTTTGACGACAAAGAAAAAGTGCATCCGAGATATTTTCTCATTCATTTTTGGGTTGAAGGCTCAATGAGATAAACTTACAGGATAGATTAAATCTTTAAAAGTGGGATTGTGTGGAAACTCAATCAGATAGTATCTTACCTGCTGTAGATAAACCTTTAAATGACTAGTCTGATGAAACGCGCTGTTCAAAGGACCCGCGAGATAACAGACAGACGAGCAGGCCTGCTATTTATAACATCATCTATTTAACATTAATATGGAAAAAGTGTTTTTTTTTTTTATTTCTGATGCAAAAACCTGCAGATGACTTATGTAAATAAGTGTTTCAAGCAATATTCGCAGGTTAATGAATTTATTTATGACGTTTTTGAGATTGTTTTTTGTATAAGATCCTCTGTGGTGTTGGCTATACTTTAAGCCTAGTTTATACTTCTCCGTCTGCGTTGGTACAGCAACACCATCATTCGTCGTTGCAACGGCTCTTCAACAGGCTCACAATGATGGATGGAGAAGAATCCACTTTTCTAAATATCCATTCAAATCGACAGACAGCGCAAGCCTGTGATTGGTCAGGGTGCCGCTTCTTTTAACTCTGTGACAGTACCGCCATTCCCCCTCCCAAAAAATAAAATGAAAGCTGAACAAATCTAGTGACAGACACGGGGCAGACTGAAGAACGTCTCTTGGAAAAAGTCTGACGATAAAAATGTTAGTACACACGTGACCGAGTACGATGATAGCAGACTCTTTTATTTGTGTCAGGAAATTACAGGAAATGTGAGTTTAGAGGTGGTGACTGCATCGACAAGTGGATAACTAATTTGTTCATGTTAAAAAGTCTCTGAAATACATAAATACAATATTAACACACTAGAGACGTGACTGCAGTGATGGTAGGATACCCCAGAAAAGCGCTATGCCCTCCGCTGTCCTGGCGGGGAATTGCCTTTACAACAGTGACACATCGACAGATGAGAATAAAGGCAAATGTCTTCGTGGACACGTGCGCACAAAGTTGCTGAAGCTGGGCAGACACTGTTTTCACTAATAGCGTTCAGCTTCAGCTCAAACTGTACGACTTACTGGCAGAGCAAATCTCACGAGTCATGTGCTCACACCGTACCACCCAGTAGGGGTTGTACGAACTAGTCGACTAGTCGACTTCACGGCTCTGTAGTGACTTTTATGCCTGTTATCAACTAGTCGCTGTCACGTGATAATGACTGACAAGATGCAGTCCTCGGAAAAGACAGCAGGTGATGAGCCCCTGCGCGTCTGGATCGAGGCGGAGGCGACGCGGTACTGACACCGGCGGTAAAACGGACATTTAACCAAACTGTGACCTTTTCCCTCTTGCAATTTAACCTTCCCCTCACCCCCATCCTAATCTTAACCAGTTTGTGCATGCAAAGCTCTGATCGTTGACGTGCGCTCCAGACATTGCGTTCTGAGCACCGCCAAATCAGGTGTCACCACCTCAAAAACAAATTAAACACGCGATCGTTCATGTCGGCTCATTTCCTTTCATGTTTTCTGTCTGTTATTTGTGCCTGATGCATTTCGCTGCTGCGGAGCGAGGCGCATCACCTGTTGTCCTCCGGTGACACCCCCCCAAGATTCCACTATCTCCACTCCGCTCCGCTCCGGCATGAACTCCGCAGCAAAAACGGTCCCGTTGTAGTCGGCCGGCGAGCAGCGGCACTCCACTGTTTTTGCGGTCGGTAGATCTTTTAGAACTGCAGTTCAAATGTAACTCATAAGGTGAATATGAACGCAGGTAGCAGTTTCTCTTTAGGATTGAGAGGAGATGCAGGAAGATAATAAACAGGCAGGACAGAAAAATAGTCAAATAAAAACAAGTTAGTTTTTGTACCTGGTGGTTGCAACAAACAGACACCACTGAAGGTAATCAGAAGTGAGGAACAGAAAATAATTATTTTAATGTTTAGAGCAGCAGGAAAGGCTGCAGGCGCATCAGTGAGTTTGCGGCTGCTGCGCAGGGGGAGGTGGGAGAGGACTGAAGTAGGATGCAGAAACTACCGTTGTTAAAAGAGATGTGTTAACTTAGAAAATGTGGGCGCAATTTTAATTGTCAAAAACTCCAGCGAACCTACCAACCAACCCCCCCCCCCGCTTCCGGCGTATGACGTCATCAACGACTAGTCGAAGTCGACTCGACTTTCATTACTTGACTGTCGACTTTAAAAAAAATAAAGTCGTTCAGGCCCTACCACCCAGTGCGTCTGGTAGCAACACATCAGACCTAAAAATATGCTAAAAATAGCAGTTTTCACACGACGCGGCTGACTTTTTTGTGTTTATTGATTGTTGTCTTTTGGGAGTGCTGTAGGAGGACACACAGGGATTCATGGGGGTTGGAGAAGGAAAACAAAAGTAAATCAATGTTTTGTGATTAGTTTAATTTGACATAATCACCGCAAACACGCTTCCTTGGCAATCCTCATCATTGTGTGCGGGAAACAAAGTGTATAAATAAAAACAAATGATGTGTGTTAATAAGGAAATGGCTGGCGAGCCGTGTCGATGCATGTTTGCACATGTGCCGTGAGTGGTTTTGGTACTTATTGGGTCACAGCCGCTCGCAGCGCAGTGAGATACCATCACGAGGGAAGAGCAAAAACAAGCAGATTCTCGCATGAGGGGAAAAATTAGCTCAAAAAAGTGAAAAAATGCACAGTGTACACCCGACTTGACGGAAAAGTATAACCTAGCCTTTAGCCTATCAATCTGGTCTGAGCTATCATGTGCACAGCTGTTAACATGATGTAAGATATTAACTGTGCATTATCTTTCACAAAACCTGCTTCTACACTTCTGAACTATCCTTAGAAATCCCTTGAAGGTAGTTGCCTAAAGCAAAACATGCTTTGCACAGGCGAACAGTAAGTACTAGAACCCCATCAGACATTATATCATTTACAGCAGGGTTAAAAAGTAAAACAATGACTTAGGGAATGTCGGCTGATTTGTTCCATTTAACCTGTGCAGGGCACCAGCCCTTGACATGCATAAGAGGGAGGAAAAAAATGAATGAACATGATCAAGTGAGAGATGAAAAATCCTTTTCAGTGGGAATGCATTCTGGTTTAGAAAGGATTAAAAAACATCCTCTCAGTTTCTGACTACCTCAACCAGCTGGCACATGCAGCGTGACTGATTGCATAACATGAGTTAGAGCTTCAGAACAGAGACACGCGCGCAGCAGGAGGCTGGCCGGCTGCGTGCAACTGTCTAGACTTCCCTCCACAGCATAGAAGTCTGCATTTGCTTACCCCGGACCAGATTCGTTATTACTCTGCATGATGGTTGTCTTTTCTTTTTAACAGAAAATAATGCGTGGAAAAAAATTGAAAAATACAAGGTCATTGAATTTACTGTGGTTACACCGATGACAAAGACGATTTTGTGACTTTTCTCCACATTTAAACACAGTTTCACGAACAACTGATGATGACGATAAGTATAGGAATAGAGATGACAGCTGATTCATTTGAGATTCTTAAACAGACAAATCTGACTTTAAAGTGTATTCCAAACTAAAACACCTGTAGCGGAATATAGTTGATATATTCTTTACACTTTTATTATGTCCAGAGATTAATCTGTGAACTGGGCCCTTATAATCAGAAAAGGTTGTTTTTACTTAGGGAGTTTTATTCAAACACTTTGTATTGAATTAGAGACAAGAAAAGAGAGAGTTGGGATCGTTTAAGAATCTTTAATGTCCACTCATTTATAACAATGAACTAAGACGCAAATGAATATGGGCAGTACGACTAGAAGGAGAAGCGTGTACCTCTCATAATATTTCTGCCAGATTGGCTGTGTAACTGAATGGTGACTGATTTATTAAACAAGATTGTGTTTGTGTGAGACAAAAGCCTCAGAGCAAATAGAGCAAATAGAGCTTGTTTCTACCAACCACCAATCGGTTGCTCTGACGAAAGCGACAGTGGACGCTGAAACATGTCAGCAAAGGTAAAAACTAGCTCTACTTGCTCTGTGAATGATGAAGAACCACAAAACATTAAATCTGTGCAGAAAAGTTGCACAGGTGGGATTTGAACCTGCATCCATCTCCAACTGCCCAACTATGCAGCCCCCAGAACCTTGGTGTGAGATGCATTGATTTTTAACCCAAAGCATGTACAGTTGCTGTAGTTTGACATGATTCAGAAAAAGGCTTAATTTACTTTTGTAGTGAGTCTTTGTTCTGTTGGCTTGGATCTAGGCTTGGACCGTGTGCACCATGCTTGTGCACACTGCCCGGCCAGCACTCAACCACAACATGGAGAGTTTCCTTTCTGCCTGTGCTTTTTTCTCCATGTCACGTTAATAGCAGCCACGGTGAAACATGGAGGCACAACATTCAAATACAGGAGTGTCGGTGGTTTTTCAAAGAATGTCACAGTGGTTGAGTGTAAATACGTGCGAAACACTTAAGCTCTGGGTGGAAATCTGCAACACATTCTCACACCCAAAGTGTCAAAATATGACGCGTGTGACCAAGCCTCAACATATGACGATTCAGGATACCCCAGTGCGTCAGGAGAGGACGAATTGAGGACGCACTGTCCGAGAGCGTCGGTGTCCAACGCCCGCGGTGAGACGGACGTTAGACCGACTTGTGAACTACTTAACCTTCCCCTCACCCCCATTCTAACCTTAACTCAGCTGAGTTACTGTGTTATGGTTAGGATTGGGGTGAGGGGAAGGTTGGATCGCAAAATAATGTCCGTGTGACCGTGGGCGTCAGATACGGACGCCAGCGGTGTGACGTGTCCCTGCGTGTCCCTCATCGCCTTCTCCAGACGCGCTGGGGCATCCGGACGCTTTGGGTGTGAGAATGTGTTGCAACACAATCTAAGAATCCATCCATCCATCCATTG